TGTGTGTGTCCCTAATTATTTCCTAGAAACAGAACTGTATTCAGGCAGCACAACCTAATACAACTAAAACTTTTGCATACACAAGCTTGGGAGTGAGGCTCCCGAGTTGAAATCTAGACTAATTTCTGAGCCAAATACATCACCTTCCCACAATCTTTTGTCCCTCATCTGTAGAACAGGGTGAGAGTATTCTCTCCTTCACAAGGTGTTGTGTGAATTAATAAAATAATTAAAGGAGAGCCTGATTGGCCTGGTATGTGAATACAGCATGATCAACAATGCAAGTACCACAAAGACCTCAGAGAAAAGGAGACCTGCAAAGAGCGTACCAGGTCTGGCTCTCAAATCCAGGGCCTAGTCTAGCGCCTAGCACCAAGAGAAACTTAGGAAAGGTTTATTAAGGGAGGGAAGAAAAGACACTACAGTTCAAAAAGAAAAAAAAAAAAAAAGTCTTCTGTTTAAATGAAAAAATTAAAAAAAAAAACCACTTCATTCTTCCCTGGGCTTTTGAGAATTCTGTGGCATACCACTTTTTGAAGTTTTCATCTTATTCCTTATTCTCAAAACCACACCACAGCCTCCTGCCAGGCTGTGCTCCCTGAGGCCACTCAGCCTCCTCCCTCAGAACCCTGACTTCTGTACTTCCTGCTCCTTGCAATCTATCTGTCGGCCCTCCCAAAGTTTCACGTCCAGCTCAGGCCTGGACAAAAAGCCTCACTGGGGCCCACAGGATGGACCAGACCATTGAGGACTGTTTCCCAGGTGCAGTGAAAGTTTCTTGATGGTTAAGAGGATGTCTACATTTCTTTGACCTCAGTCAGTGCTTAGCAACAGAGCAGGCTCACCCTAAAGCTTGAGGAACTAAAACCAGTCACTTCCTTTCTACGTGACCTCTTAAGGCCTTCTTTTTACTCTAAGAGCAAGCTGTCTGTCCCGGGCCTAGGGCCTCATCCCCATTAATTCTGTGAATTATTTTTGAAAATGTTTACTGAACATAAGAGCAACATGGTGCCTTTAAGAATGCCTGCTGATCTGCCAGGAAGCTGCAGGGAGGCCTAGGGTGGGACTTGGCTGACCATTCTCTGGCCAGGAGGAGGGGCACGGCAGCCTTGGCCTGGGATGTCAAGCCAGCTTGGGCCCACAATGCTGCCAAGTGATTCCATTTAGCTCAGCAGATGAACTAGGCCTTCTCTTCCTGCCAAACCCCAGCAACAGTGACCAAAACCATCAAAAGCAGTATACCAATAGGGTAATAATAGTGTTGAGGGAGGCCCCTGCCCCTAGGAGAGAACCTTCCTCAAGGAAATGAGATGGGAGCTGGGGCTGGGAGGTCGGAGAATTCACTGGTTAGAGAACAGCATGTGTGGTGGGGTTGGGATTCCAAGTCAAGAGACAGGCTTCAGGCCCAGGTAGGTGGCCCTCCACATGCAGCCACAGATACTGGCTGGTGAAATCACCAACAGGAAGATCTTGGGCTGCCTGGTCTGACCCTCAAAGCTCCAGGCTCTATGTGACCCCAGCGATGCAGTTGTCTTCCAACTAACTGGAGCAGCAACTTCTGCTTGCTTCTCTGTCAACTCACAGTCCAGGACCTTACTCCATGGTCTAGATTTTCAAATACAGGAAAAATGCAATTCCAGAAACCCAGCATGAATGTCCTACATACTTCTTCACTATTAAACAGTAACTGCAAGAAGGAGACAATCTCAGGGTCCCTAAAGACTGATGTTCTGTGAAGCCATGTTAGCCAGGATAGGAGCTCTCTGCAGATGGGAAGCAAAAGGACTGAGGGGATCACAGTGCTGTTAACTCCTTCTGAGGGGCCCTACAAACTGGCTTAGCTCTGGGCATACACTGTGAGGGGCAGGGCATGACAAACTAAAGCGGTCCAGAGGATCAGTCAGGAGAAGGAGCACTATTAGAACCACATCAGAAAGCAAACAGCTGACAGCCCTGTAGGTATTTCTCCAAGGTATTTCCCTTGGAGAAGAGATTTGAGGAAGGCATGAAGCTGTCCTCTTGAAGAGAGGAAGCATGATTACCTTGTGCTATGTTGCACCTCCACGAGCCTCTATCTTGCAGTTACCACATCACTTTGAAACCACCTGCCTATAAACCCTCCTCCTCCCCAAGTCCACAGTATCCTGATGGGAGTCTGTGTATGAGTCACTTCTGAGGCATCAGCAACTAACCCAGGGCCAGGACACAGAAAATGCTGAACCGAGAATGGAAATGACAGAAAAAGGCCTATTGTGGCTCAGGAGAGGGAAGCACTTTTTAACAATCAACAGGCCAAGATGATTGGGAGGAAACTCCTGTCAGGGAAGGATCTGGCAGCAATGAATGACCTCAGCTGGTAGAAAGATGCAAGGCAAAACAGACCCCTGAGATTTCTGATTCTAAGACCCAGGCTCCTGGAGGAGTGAGGAGAGAGCCACAAGGGGCAAGGAATGAAGGGACAGAGCACCTGCGCTGTGCTAGGCACATACATCCAGTCAGTATCTCGTTAGCCCTCCCTGCCCCGCGAGGTAGACATTATTATAATTACTCACAGCAGAGGAATTTCAGGTTCAGGGAGGTTCAATAACTTGCCAGAGCCATAGAGCTAGTAAGAGGTAGAGCCAGAATGTGAACCCAGGACCACCAGGCTGCCCACTTGGGCTGAGAGAGAACTTCTGCTCTCCTGGCCTTGCAGAAGGCAGCTCCAGCCTATTGAAGCTGAAGTTTCTCCAAGGGCAATAACATTAACTGACCTCATGTGTCAAAACTTTGCAAAAGCATTTTTACTTCAAAAAGCCCAAAAGTCCTAAGCCAACAGATCCAGCTCTAGGGAAAAATAGCTGAGCGAGAGCTAGCTATCCTGTGGAAGCCTAGGAGCTGTTCTCCTTCCTAGACCCCAACCAAGGGACACAAGATGCTGTGGAAAGGGCCTGGGAGGCCTGGAGGAAGCAACATCTGAGCTCTGACTTAGATAATGAGCTAGACAATGAGGGGGCAGCAGAAGGGAAAGGGCATTCCAGAGAGCAGAAATAGCAGGAGCAAAAGCAGAGACACAAGAAGTATGTGGAGCGTTACAAGTCATTTGAGAATGCCAGAACATGAAACTTAAATTGAACACTATTAGGGTGTGGTGATCAAAGAAGTAAGCAGAGGCTGCTAAATTATGAAGGACACTGAATACTACCCGAAGAAATCTGAACTTTATCCTGAGGGCAGTAAGGAGACACTGAAAGGTTTTAGGGAGGGCAGTGGTAAGATCCACCTTTACATTAGGAAGATCCCTGTAGCAGCAACGTAAGAGGCTGAGCTGCTGGCAGTGAGACTGGAAGCATAGCTAACGCTACAGCAATGTAAGGAGAGACATGCTGGGCTTAGGGCTTAGGGTAAAGAGGCAAGTGCCCCACAGCATAGGCATGCTTCAAGCCTCCTTTATCGTTAATTCCCAGTCAGTGCCAAACTTTCCATCTCCTAGGTTCCAAAACATACTCACACTACCAGGAACCCAGGCCTGCTGTAAAGGCTACTAATTTTGAGGCATGTACTACACCTGGCAGTGCTGTGGGGTTAAAGCACTTGGCTGCTAACCAAAAGGTCAGTGGTTCAAATCCATCAGCCACTCGGTGGGCAAAAGATGTGGTGGCAGTCTGCCTCTGTGAAGATTTACAGCCCTGGAAACCCTATGGGGCAGTTCTACTCTGTCCTACAGGGTTGCTATGAGTCAGAATCAATTTGACAGCAGTTGAGTTTTTGGATTTATTGCACTAAGGAAATTTGCTGCAAAAGACTTCTTTAAAGTGTTAAAGAGCAAGATGTCACTTTGAGGACTAAAGTGCACCTGACCCAAGCCATGGTATTTTTCAATCACCTCATATACATGCAAAAGATGGGCAATGGAAAAGGAAGATCAAAGAAGAATTGATGCAACTGAATTGAGGGGTTGCTAAAGAATAATGAATATACACCGTGGACTGCCAGAAGAACAAAAAAATCCATCTTGCAGAAGTACAGCCAGAATGCTCCTGAGAAGTCAGGATGGGGAGACTGGCTCACATACTTTGGCCATGTCATTAGGAAAAACCAATCACTGAAAAAGGGCTTCATGTTTGGTAAAGAGTCAGTGAAAACATGAGAAACCCTCCAAGAGATGGATTGACACAACAGCTGCAACAATGGGCTCAAACATACCATCAATTGTGAAGGGGCAATGTTTTGCTGTTTATACATAAGGTTGCCATGAGTGGGGCCAACTCTAAGACAACTAACAATTTTGTGGGGCCTCCCACATACCTTTCTTTGATGATATGACTGCGGGGCAAAAATGATGCTAATCTAAATGCCAATTACCGAACTCATGTCAGGTACTATGCTAGGTACTGTACACAGATAATCTCAGTTGTGCCCCAACAACCCTATGAGGACAGTTACTACTATTCTGTTTGTGCCGATGAAGATACTTAAGTCCGGAGCGGGTAATTTGCCAAAGGCAATGAGTCAGGTTTTGAACTCAGTTCTACTTGACTGTCGAGACAGTTTTATTAATCGCTGCCAAGAAGAGCGGAGAAGGAAGGGCTAAGGGTCTGAGACCGAGGCTTCTGCGAGGACTGAAGACCCCGTAAGGACCCCTCTCCCTCCGGGAAAATAACTGGTGGGACTCCCCAACACACAACACCGAAGAGAAGCTAAGAAGTGGGAAGCCCAACCCCAAACAAAGGAATCAAGAGGGATTCTGAGAACACGGCACTGAAAGGACTGAAAAACGGCCCCAAAAGACCTGCAGACTCATGGATAGGGAGGAAGTCGGTAATCTGGGGGCATCCTAGGGGCGGGGCATACAAAGAGGCGTGGCTCCAGGAGTCCGGCGAACTCTAGAACAGGGGGATCCTATGAGGGGGCGGGTCGTGAGAGGGCGGGGCTGCGAGGGGGCGGGGCCGCAGCTGCGTTAGGTCACCAGACTCGTTAGGTCACCTCCCCCGGACTGGACCCAACCCCTCGTTCCATACCCCGGCTCCGGCAGGGCTGATCCGGGATCTCGATGGTGTAGTCCAGCTCAGCCGAGGCCATGGTGAAGGTGCCAGCCCTCAGCGAGGGCCTCCCGCCGGAACTCCCGCTCGCGCGCCCTCGCCTCACCCGGGCACCACCCCAGGCACCGCCCAATCGCTGCCCACCTCCTCCGGCACCGCCCAATCCGTGAGCCGCGCTCTGTGACCTCCAGCCCTAGCAACCACAGAGTCTCTATCCGAGTTTCTCGCGGCACGCTGCTAGCACTACCCTAGGCAGCCATGCCCCGCCCAGCTCTGACGCCCTGGTCTGCAGTCATTGGCTAATTCACTTGACCTGGATCAGGTATTGGTTAGTCAGGACGCCGGTCACGAAAAGTCCCCACCCTCCTGCGTAGGTAAGAGGGTCTGAGGGTGAGTTGTAGTCTGGGAATGGGGAGAGTCTCTCGTCCGAAAAGTGTTTTATATTACGGGGTGGGCGGCAGTGCCCTTTGACTTACGTGGTCAAGCTGCACATACCATCTTGCTCAAAGCCGCAGCTCCGAGGTCTGGAGGTAGAAAAACGCACAAAACGGCCTGGGAGGCGCGTGCTGGCCCACCTCCACCCAGTGGGTCTAGGCGTATTTTGGCTGGGGCAGGGAGGAGGGGAGTGTCAGGACTTTAGAGAATGGCCAGTTCGTGGGGATGGGGGAGAAACTAGTGTCTTGATTGGGACAGCAAAAAGCTGTTGAATACAGCTTTCTTGCATTTATCTACTCATGTAATAAATATGTACTGAGCACCTATTACGTACCAGTCACTGAGCTAAGTAAGATTCGTTGGGCTCTAAGTGAATATTAAGTTTTTGGCCTAATTTCCATAAGTCTTAACAGGAGAGGGAGAGATACCATGCATGAACCAACTCTAATTCTGTGCCAAGGGTACTACAAAAGAGAGGCCCTAAGGATTTTAGGAACTCAGAGGGAAGGGGTACTTACAGCAGTGGAGATGGCTTTTAGGTTGAGCCATAAAAGACTTGTGGACATTTGAAGGGAGAAGAACTTGTAGGAGCTCAAAAAGCCAAGTGAGTGCTAGAAATTAACTGGAGGCATCTTCTGGCCAGAGGAGAGACTAATGTGAGAGCAGCCTTGGAAGTAAGAATAGTTAGACCCAGATCTGGGAGGGCCTTTGATCCTAAGCTTGGCTTTGGACTTGTAGATAGCAGATCTTACAGATGGTAAAATTTTTCCAATGCATTGTACTTCTATGAGCCTGAGAGCCTAGACTATCCAGGAAACAGTGGGAAGTCTTTACAGGGCTTTAATTGGGAGAAATGATCAGATTTGTGTTTTAGAAAGATCAAAGCAAAGAATGGATTGGGAGGAGGAGGAAGACCAGTTAGGAAGTTGTTGCAATATTGGGGAAGGATTATGGTGGCCCAAGGCATGGAGAGAGGAGCTCTGGTGGTGCCATGGTTAAAGCATTGGGGTGCTAACACCCACCAGCTACTTCTGCTGGAGAAAATGAGGCATTCTGTGTCCATAAAGATCTATAGCCTTGGAAATCCTATGGGGAGGTTCTCTGTCATGCAGGGTCACTATGAATTGGAATTCAACTCAATGACAGTAGTTTGGTTTTTGGTTTTAAGACATGGAGAAGGAGCCCTGGAGGCACACTGGTTAAGCACTTGGCTGTTAACTAAAAGATTGGCAGTTCAAACCTCCTCCACGGGAGCAAGATGTGGGAGTCTGTTCCCATAAAGATTACAGCCTTGGAAACCCTATGAGACAGTTTTACTCTGTCCTATAGGTTGCTTTGAGTCAGAATCCATTCAGTGACAAGTAAGGCATGGAATGGCAGCAGGAATGAAGAGGAAGGGATGAATTTCTTAGAGACTAATGAGCTGGAAAGAACTAAATGACTGATTGGATATGGGGGAAGTGGGAGAAATGAAGGATGACTTCTAGATTCTAGGCTTAGGCAGACAGAACAGAGAAGAAACAGGGTTTTTGGAAGGGGTCAGTTCTGGAATGTTGGTCATGTCTGTGAATGGTTGTTTTAGATGCCAGTGGAACATCCAAGTGGAGATGTCAAGGAGGCAGTTCAATATGCCTGAACAAAGTCTTCTCATAAGAGAAATCCCAGATAGAAATGGGGGAAACTATAGTGCCTTATGTTAGACTGGGTTCTCTAGAGAAACAAAACCAGTAAAGCTTATAGAGAGAGACAGAAAGAGAAATTTATCTTAGGAAAATGGCTCACACACTTATATAGAAGCTGGCAAGTCCCAAGTTCTTGGATCAAACATCAAGCTGGAGGCTTTTCCAAACTCATGCAGCTGCAGGGGCTAAGGAGCTCAAGGGTGGCAGGCAGTATACGGGCTGATGACTCCAATGAATGATGAATCCAAGATCTCCAGGCCGAATGGTGGATTGTTCACTCACAGTTGTAGGAAGCACAACAGAATCCCGATCCACAGAAGAGTGTCTCTTTTCCCAGGATGTCCATAAATATATTGGAAGCAGGCCACACCCCTAGGGAAACTCCCTTACAACGGATTGGCTGCTCAAAACATATACATCTGATCCCATCATGGGAACAACCCACACCACAATTGTTTAAACCACACAGAATTGTGGTCCAGCCAAGTTGACACACAGCTCCAACTATCACATGCCTTATAAGGAGCTCTGGTGATGCAGAGCCTAAAGCATTTGACTGCTAACCAGAAGGTGGGTGGTTCAAACCTATCAATCATTCTGTGGAAGGAAAATGAGACAATCTACTTCCATAAAGATTTACTGTCTTGGAAACCCAGTGGGAGTCACCATGAGTTGGAATCAACTTGGCAGTGGGTTTGGTTTTGGATTTGATGGTGTAGTGATTAAGGCATTTTGCTGCTAACCAAAAGGTCGGTGGTTCAAACTCACCAGCCACTCCGTGGAAGAGAAATAAAACAGATGGCTTCTGTAAAGATTTATCACCTTGGAAACCCAGTGGAATTTGCTGTAACTCAACCATTGGAAATGATGGCAGTGAGTTTGGTTTTTGGTTTTGGTAGTGCCTGATAGATGGCAACCACACCAGTGGATTTGGTGAGCTCACCCAGGAAAAAATGTGTAAAATGATAAGGGAAGAGGTCCCTAGGACAGAGTCCTGAGAAGCACCCAAATTTGAGAGTCTGCAAAAAAGAATGAACCTGCAAAAGTAAATGAGATGAAGTGTCCCAAATGGTAAGAAGAAAATCAGTAGTAGAATGTGGTGTTTCAGAAGCCAAGAAAAGTGTTGAAGGCCAATGACTAATCAAATAAGGTCTAAAAGGAATCCACTGGATTTGGAAACAAATAGATTGTCTGTGATCTTTGTAAGTACAGGTTCAGTGAAAGAGGTCAAATTAACAGTGGCTTGAGAAGTAGATGGGAAAGTGAAGAAGTGAAGACTGAATACAATACATTTCCAAACAATTGGTTATTTAGGAGAAGGAAAAGAGACGGCAGTACTAGAAGGAGATGTGGTTTTATTCAGATGGGAGAAATGCTGTTAGAATGGATGCAGTGAAGAGAAAAAAGATGAAATTATAGAGGAACAGAGATAACAGAGTGGTGCCTCTGAAAAAGGAATAAGGTGTAAGATCCAAAGCAGTGGTAGAGACATTTCCTTAGAAAGGTGCAGGGAAAGATGGAGGAACAGGCAGACAAGTGACACAGATGCGCTTCAAAAAAGAAAAACCAATTGACAGAGATACAGAAGATAATCCTGGATCCTTGAGCTTTGAAAGGAACTATACAGAACTGGATTAGGCACCAACTAGTGGAAAAATCTGAACAAAAACAGTGAGTACAGAGACAGTAGGAGCTGCGGACTGTTGGCTACTCTGACGGGCCCAATAACCTGAATATTTCCAGGTGGTGTTGGGACCTGAGAATTGACCTAAGATCAACCCTGGTCACCAAGGACTGCAGGGACAATTGTGCTGGTGGCCTATGACTAGGAAGGGAAACAGCAAGGAAGGAGACAACCTGAGCTGTTGACTTTCTGCGTTCAGAGGGCACAGCCATTTTGATTGTTTATACACGGCAGCCATTTTGGATATTTAGAGGAATCAAAGGCATAGCCATTTTGAATGTTTACAAGCAGTGGCCATTTCGGATATTTAAAGTGACCAAGGGCACAGCCATTTTGAATGTTTATAAGCAGTGGCTATTTTGGGTATTTAAAGTGACTGAGAGCACAGCCATTTTGAATGTTTACAAGTGGCAACCATTTTGGATATTAAAATGATAGTATTCTTATTCAGATTCCAGGGCCCTAAGAATAGGCTCTGTTTGCCAAAGTTGTCAGGGACGTACAAGAGGCTGACAACAGGAAAGGAGACAGACAGGTGGTGAGTATATAAGTTCTGTCAGCTGGCAAATAGAGGAGCACAGTACCCTGTTTGTGTAGATAACATACAAACAAAATGAAAATCATGGGCAAGTCACTCCAACATACAATCACCAATTAAACATAAACACAAAAACATCACAATGCCTCGGAGACAACAGAGCATCACAGTCCACACAAAGAAGCAAGATAAAGCAGGAGAAACAAGGGACCCTGGGATACAGACCCAAAACACATCCCTGAGGAAGATGGAGTACTGGAACTCCCTGATAAGGAATTCAAAAGAATTATATTTAGGTATCTTCAATGAATTGAGAGACAGATCAAGGAAAACACAGAGAAAACCCTAGAACAATTTCAAAAGACAATATAAGAATAAAATGACAAAATAAATGAAAAATTAGAAATGATACAAAATCTACACACACAAATCCAGAAGATTAATACTAAATTTTCAGAAATAGATAAGACATTGAATGGGCAAAGGAGCAGAATTGAATCAATGGAAGACAGAATTAGTGAGATTGAAGGCATATATCTTAACACTTCTTTGGAAAGGGATCAATCAGAAAAAAGATCAAAACAAAATGAGGAAAGCCTAAGGTTCATGTGGGATAGCATCAAAAGGAATAACCTACATGTAATTGGAATTCCAGAACAGAAAGAGAAAAATAAAACCACAGAGAAAATTGTTGAAGATTTGTTGGAAGAGAATTTTCCTGGTATGATGAAAGATGAGAATATATCCATTCAGG